TTAGACACTAAAATATTCATACAACTGAAACAGGGACCAGCATTTTTAATTTAACTGATATCCTAAAACATAATTTTGGTTGTTGAATTCCAGATTCAAAATATGATTAAGAAGAAAACAAATGGTAAAACTGCCCTAGAAAACTAAATAATACTGCTGCCAGTATGAATAATAGAGTATGACCAAACTTGATCTCATTTGAAAAGAGATACAAAGACTTTCTGAGAATAGAAAGTTCCAGTAAGTTAGTTTCTTCCTCAAGATGCAAATGTATACAATATTTTGCATGAATCAAAAATATGCCTGAGCAGTGATTCTTCATAGCCAAGAACACAGCCTGTATATGAAGGCCCAAGTGTTAAATATTCTGTGTATGGCAACATTGATAGTGCAGGATCTGCTTTTCAAAGAGAAAAGAAAGGGCTCTCCCAGCGATGTAAGAATCCTATGGAAAATGGAAGCCACCGAGGGCTGTACAGGGGTGTGTGGAGATGAAATAAATCTCTAATGGATTTGATTCGTAGAAGTAGAAGAGAAAGTGGCTCACTTGCTATGTGTTCACCGAAAGATGAAAAGTATCCAGAGGAGTTGCAAAAAAAAAAAAAAAAAAAAAAAAAAGTTTCCCACATGGACTAAGAAAGATGGGGATGGAAATCCAGCTTGATTCTGAGCAGACTTTCTGTGTAAACCTGCCTTGACCTAAAAGGCATTCCCCTCCCCCTTTAAAGTACCTTCAGGGAATAATTAGCTGTCCAATTATTGGCAAGTCCTAATATATTTGCCTTATGCTTTCGCCTGGTCTAGGGCACGTCTGCATTTTTTATCAATAGGATGCAATAAATAAAACTGGGGAAAACCTACGATTGCAGCTTTCAGCATTACTGACCATTGGCTCCCATGCCACTGCTCTTGTTTCCTCAAGAATGTGGTTCTTCAGAGTTAACCTTCTAAGAAAATTTATGAACCTTATAATTGCAATTGTGAGTTCATGCCCTTCAGTATTACCCTAGAGACTGGGATTCTTAGAAGTTAAAGGATTGCCAGGAATCACACAGCCAGGGCTAGAAGCCATGGCTCCCTGTACACTTTGTTTCAAGGTCATACTGGTCAGACCATGCTTGGATCAAAACATGAGCCTAAGGGCATGATACTTTACTCTTGTCACTGGCTTACATTTTATTCTTTACTTGCACGCCTGTCCATATGCGCTTTTTCTAAGAAAACATTAAACCATAATATACTTTAGGTCTCTGTCAACATTTTATTCTACCTTAGATAAACAGATAAAGGATTATTATCCCATACTTCACTTATTAATTGATATAAAAATTATTGATACCAAAGGTGTTCATTCTGTGTAAAATTTAGAGAAAAAAATTCAATATATATTATAATAAAACATATGAAAATGTGAAATAATAATAACACAATGTTGATATAGGTAAGAATTTTTTTTATGACAATTTTTTCTAAATTCACCTAGCAATAACAAATGTTTTAATGCTGGTTTTATATTTTATACGAAAACATGATCCTTTTCAGAGGAGATCTTCTATAATAGTACTTTCCTATTTGTTATTAACCTAAATGATGTTATTCCACTGGATTTCATATGTGTTGCTGGTCCTGCTGGGAAATCATAAAACTGGGCTCATTTAGGAAGCGGCAATGTGGCTATATCAGAAAAGCTGCCATATGTGAAACCTCACTTTATGTCTGTTGAAATTTTTGTATTTCAGGTCTCCCAGGGACATGTCCATTGTGCTATTGTGTAATTTTATCAGCATGAACTTCTGCTGAATATTTTTCCTTCTTTTCAAAATCCATATTTTAGTAGAACTAACTTCAAAACTTAATGTTGCAACATCTGTGCCCATACACCTGGGAGCCATAGAAGATGTATCCTGAAGATTATCTACATTTTCTAATCTTATAAAATGCTACAAAAAGACAAAAAAACATAGATTTTTCCTGGTCTGGATTTTTTTTTTTTTTTAAAGGAATCACTTTCTGCCTCCTTAAAAGGATTCTTAAAATAAAAGAGGGGCTGGGCGCGGTGGCTCAAGCCTGTAATCCCAGCACTTTGGGAGGCCGAGGCGGGTAGATCACGAGGTCAAGAGATCGAGACCATCCTGGTCAACATGGTGAAACCCTGTCTCTACTGAAAATACAAAAAATTAGCTGGGCATGGTGGCGCGTGCCTGTAATCCCAGCTACTCAGGAGGCTGAGACAGGAGAATTGCCTGAACCCAGGAGGCAGAGGTTGCGGTGAGCCGAGATCGTGCCATTGCACTCCAGCCTGGGTAACAAGAGTGAAACTCCGTCTCAAAAAAAAAATAAATAAAAGAGAACTAATACTTCTCAAGCTATAAGGAATATCTTTACAAATGTAATAAAATACTCATTGGATTTTTAGAGATAATTATTAATACATATGTACAACTTTTGATTAAGGAGACTATTTTGTGAACACAAAATCTGGAGCTGACAATCTTAAAACATTTTCAAACAAGACTTTTTCTAACTAAATCAAAAGAAAGTAAAAAGAATTTGCCACTTTGAATTTATTTACTACATTTCTTTTGTGGATCTACCAACAGCTCAATGGTATCTTTTTCAAAAAATAGAAATTATGGTTTTATTTATTTCTCAAGTAGAAGATTGAGATACTGACAAACAAGAAAGTGTTTATGAATGGAGAGAAATGCCTTTCACCTGGCTTCCTTCCATTAGTTGTTTAATGTCTTTAGAATAAAATATGTAGCAATGGAAAGCGTTGAGAGCCATATCAAAATGGCCTTCATGAAATGGTGCTGCCAGTCATATGGGTAGAACCAGTTGTTGATGAAGGATAATGTAGAATATGTGACTCTCTACAGATTCAGAATAGTTAAGAAGGACAATGAATGGACTTGGGGCAATCACATATGGGTTATCTTGACTTTGTAATCAATTTATCAAATTATGAGAAATACTAAATACTTATGGAGTGCATTCTATGTGTCACACATTGTTTCATTTGCTTTGCACATGTTACTCATTAAATTTTCACCATAACTGTATGTGACAGGTCCTTTTGCAATCATCATCTTACAGATGAAGAACCTGAAGAGATAGGTTAAGTGATGTGTCCAGGGTCATCTACCTTTGTCAGTGGTGGAGCAGAGCTACTGCAGAAGGCCAGGAGTCTGCATCACCTCCTTTTCCTATGACTACTTTTCATAGACAGAACAAAATAGCTTTTCACTCTTACTTTGATGCAAAGTATAAGATGACATAGGGGATGCATTTAAAATTATTTCAAATCTAAACACCAGAAATATTCAAGGCAGGGCCAAGTGGAATATCTATGCTGGAGACGGGAAGGGAAAATGTGGTTAATTCAAGATGACCAGCATTGGTCGTCATCTTACAGTGAAAAGTCAAATTTTAACAAAGAACTTCAACCTCATAGTTGCTCGAAGCAAGCAGCAGAACTTGACCTTGCTTTCCCCCCACATGCCATTCCACCGTTATCAGAAAAAGATTGGCATATTTATGAGGAAGAGAGGAAATGAGGGTATTTAATCCTTCAGGCCTCAGAGTAGTGTTCGATGCTTGGGAAGGCTCTGGGAGGAGGGAAGCATGTCAATGTGTGCTGAATGCCAGCTTTTTGCTTATAGGTCAAGTCAAAAAGAGGAAAATGTGCAGCTGTTTGATGTTCCTCTTTACCATTTGCATTTCTTGAGGCGCAATGAACAAAGCAAACCATTTCTGCTACAGAGAAATTAAGGTAACATGCACAGCATTGTCTATTTTACATTTTAAAACTGCAGTTGAAGAGAGCAATACCATGTATCTGATTCTGAGTAAGGGTTATATCAATTCTCAGTTATCAATGTTAGACATGAAATAACTTCAAATATACCCTTTATTTGACTTGACAGGAACATGGATTCATGAGTCTGAACTGGGATTTGCAATAAAGGAAAGGTTATTAGAGGTATAGGCATGGAAAAATATTGTGCTGTAAACGCGGTCAAAATTTTAAAAGTGTCAAAATCGCTCACATGGTTTAGCAATTAAACTGTGTCAATGCCCCTGCCAAGAAGAGTTCATAATTTGGAAGCTGTAGTTGCTATTGACCTGATTTTACGATTGAGATCATGTCGAGTTTTAATTTGGAAACAAAATTGATCACCGTGTTCTATAAACAAGGCCTGTCAAGTTATTACTCTGCAACTGCTTGGAAAATACATATTTCTTTAAGAGTAGTATGATTTATGATATACTGTAACAAAAATTATGAGCTTCTTTTAAGAAATTGCTTTATGTTTAAAAATCAATTTCTTTTATTTCTTCAGTTAATACTAAGTTACTCTGAGAATAGTTTTTAAGAAAATATTTTTCAGATTTCTATCTTCACTCCAATACATTGGTTTCTTGACCCAAATGCTGCTTCAATATTTACAGAGTGTTCATTCCTCCTGAGTTTTCAGAAATCATTATAATGCTCACTTCTTTTTTAAAAAACAGTATTCAACATTATTGCATCCTAATATTAGCAAACAAAGCCTGCATTGAGGTTCATACAACATGCATATTTTACATAAATTGTTTCTTTAATCACTACTATAGGAAGGAAGACAAATGAAATCAATACAAAAAGGTCAGTCTACTTGCTTTAAAGCCATTTCATGAACTTTATCCCTCTAGTCTATCATTTTGATTTCTTACAGGCTTTCTCAATACTATAATTTTATAAATTTAAATGGAATCTAAGTGAACAACAAAAACATCCTTATGCTACAAGTAGTTGATAAAACTACTTGTTCCAAGCATCTTCTTTTGCAACTTCTAGATTTTATTCTACTTTCAAAAGCAGATTTGGGGTAAAGGAAATGTTCACTTTCCCCCTTTACAAGCTGTAATTGCATGAGGATAACTTTGATGGTTGAATTCTAGGCAGGAATCCAAAGAAACTCTCTATTCTTGATGGGTTAACTGAAGAGCAGTCCTACCTTTTTCACCTTCATTTTCTTCTTGGTCATCTGTTAGTGGAATCACTTCAGGTTGCTCCGCAATCACGGCATCTTCTTGATTCGATGAAAGTTCTAAATAGAATGAGGCAGAAGGACACTCAGGGGTGTTTTAGCTGGAATCGTTGCAAGAACACAGTGACTACAGCATAGAAAGTTAGACTTCATTTTTCCCCCTTCAAGTTTCAATAGGTCCACCAAGTTGACACCATTGCTATCCTCCAGTAATCACTGCCTAAAACACACACACATATCATTCACATACACAGGTAAATATAGATGTCATGGTTCACAGTTTCATCTCATTCTCTGATAATATATTTGAGTTTCAGTACCTTCTGTTTCCATATATGAGTTCTGGGACTCTGTTTCAATTTTTATTTCATTCTTCATTGAATCATTCTCTTGCCCTGTTAAAAATAGTGATTGAAAGAGAAAAGAAATGTGATATGCATGACCACAGCTTTATTCCTGACTTTCAGAAACCATGCTTTAATCATGCATGGAGAGATAGAGAACAGTTTGGGAACCAAAGTGGAGGGCAAAGTTATCATTTTTCCAATCATCCGATGTATATCAATTATTTTCTGAGAAATATCCTGATAATTTAGGTAAAAAATCTTTTTTTTTTTTTCTCAAAACTGATTTGAAACTGGCATACTTCTTTAGTTTATCAATGCACAGGATATGGATGGAGGACACAACCTGGAAATTTTCAAATTTTACAAAAATTTCCAGGCTGTATGGGTTAACTACATTTAATTTCCTTTTAAGATATTAATAGTTCCCATAGTGAGGATTCCTAGAAAATGAAAACACTACTCACACTTTCATTTTTCCATCAACAGAGCATAGAAACTTGAGTAATGTGAGCACATGGTAACTGGGGGGCATAACAGCTCAACCATTCTCTTCAGACACATACTAAATACAGCAAAGGTCAGGAGAGAATTCAGCCAACTCTTGATTACTCCTAGGCTGATTAACTAGTAATGGTTTTTCTCCCACACCCCTTGGCTTGTCCTCCTACCCTCCCCTGTAGAGTTTAAAACATTTAAGTGCTTATTAAGAGAGGAAATTGAAATCTGTCCATTTTGCCTTGGGCTAATGAAAGATTCTGTGCTGAGGATATTTAACTATGGAATTAAAAATATATATTCTAGAGCTAGGGTTGGTTATAGGTGCAAAGCAGACTAAGAGGAGCTTGAACTCTGCCTGATTCCATTCCTGTGGTAGCATTATGCTTTTGACTTTTCTCTACCTCTTCCTGTAAGAGGATTATATTTCCCTGTCTGTGACAGTGTGACATGCAGCGGCCCTTGTGGGACAATTGTATGTTCCCATCTCATTGACACAGGCCTGTTCATGTGACTTGTTTAGGAAATGGCACTGGAACAGGCGTCGAGTGTACTGCAACCGACCAGAACCCTTAAGATGTATGTTGCCTGCAGCTCTTCTGCTCCTAATAGAACAAATTCCTTTATCTAGATCCTGAATGAAAAGCATGTGGAACACAGCCAAGCAGGGCCGAGTAGAGACACAACCAGCCTTTTTTTTTTTTTGAGCCCCCAATGTGACATTTGGGGTTATTTGTTACCGCAGCAAAGCTAACTCATATAATCTCTCATCTCACAGCTTCCTCTTTGACACAATTATTTTTAAACCTTCCATGATCCTACTTGCCCTTGATTCATCCTTTGCTAGCATGACACAGATGGGGGAAAAATCATGTTTTTTGTATAATATCCACTCCCCCTGGGCTCAATTTTAATCAAAAGGAGCCAATAAAATAATTAAAATGAAAGCATATTTATCTATTTGATCACTGAATATAAAAACCTTAAGCTGTTTCTGATGATTTTCTTTCATCGCTCCTGAAGTTCAATGAAATGCCATCTTTATGATTCTGCAAAACATTCGTTTTCCCACTTTCCAGTCTCCTGTCTTCTTTCCTCATTTAGGGATACATCATCTGTCTCTTGGATCTTTCATTTTCTTCCCCTTTATTCTATTTTGTGATTTGATAGCAGAAAGGCCTTTTAAAATTTGAACTTATTCAAGACCGTTCCACTTCTGAAAAACCCCATTCATCCTCATTCTTCCCCATTGCTACTCAAAGTATGGCCCATGGACAAGCAACACTGGAATTACCTGGGAGCTTTTCAAAAATGCAAAATCTCAGGCCTCATCACAGACCTACAGGATCAGAGCCTGCATTGTATAACAATATGTCCGTGTGATTTGTATGCAAATTAAAGCTTGAGAAGCACTGGCCTAGAAGATGTAAGTGAATCTGCAAATTATTGATCTCATAAAAAATGCCAGACTGTCCCTAGATACTTCACATGTATTATCTCTAATCATCACATTAGCCCTGGAAAGTAAGGGCTGTGATCTCAGTTCTGCTTTCAAAAATCATAACTAGCTCTACCCGACTACAATCCCTCTCTTCTTTTTGTTTTGCCTGAAAATGTCTTTATTTTGCTTTTTAGCTCTTAAAATTGAGATCTACTTGCATACAGTAAAATGTACAAATCTTAAGTATATATCTTTATGACTCTTTAGATATAAACACATGAATTTTCCTATCAAAAACAATCATCCAGATCAAAAATAATTCTCATACCAGTGGCTTCCTCCACTATGTAACAGTGTTGTGTGTTTTTGAGATTCATTTAAATACAATATGCAGCATATGTTCTTTTGTATTTTAGTTTTTTTATAACTGTTGTCTGTGAAATTAATTCCAGTTGCTGTGTGCATCAATTGTTTATTATTTTTCATTGATATATACTATTCTACTGTCTGAATATACTATATCATATTGAGTGTTGAATTGTTTTCAGTTTGAGGCTGTTATGAATAACACTGCTAAAAACATTTTTGAATGCTTCTTTTGGCAGATAGATTTTAATGGACTCATATCACTTGGGTATAAACCAAGTGACTGAGATCAAGTAGGTTATATAATAGGGAATATGTATGTTTAGCCTTATTAGATTTTGCAAAACAGTGTTCTAAAGAATTTGTTCCGTAAAGAATCCTTACACATACTTCTGCCAGAAATGTATAAGGATTCCATTTGCATCCTTTATTCTTTAGATTATGTCATATTACTGTGGGCCACAAAATATGTAGCAGAAAGCAATTTAAAATCTTTCACCCCACCCAGTTTTACCCTTATCACCTTTGGATACTATACAGAATGATGATGGCTGTACTACTGGTTATTCATTCTACGATGTATTGCATGCCATCAGGGGTAAATATATCTGGTGCTGGGAGTAGAGCTTAAGTAAGATAGATACGGTGCTTATCCTCAAAAAACATACAGTTGCTGGAACACAAGCGTTATATGCAAAAAAAAAAAAGTTCTTTCTATTAAGATGTAAAACAGAATTTCTACTTTTTGAGGAAAAAATCACTTTGAGCAGATTTTTGGATTATGGGAGACTCTGTAGAACAAAGACTGTATTAGACAACAAAAATGAAGGCTGAAATGCTCTCAGTAAATTAAGTGAAACCAGGACATTTAAATACTCTCAGTAAATTAAGTGAAACCGGGACATTTAAATACTCTCAGTAAATTAAATGAAACCAGGGCATTCATGTAAAATTCTAAAATCAAGTATAAAATCAGCCTCAAGAAATGGGATGGGAGCACTTCAATCCCATTTCTGATAAAACTAGGGCCACAGGTTTTGCCTTTCAGGTCTGCTATAGATAAGCCTGGACAACAGAATGACTGCACGGAGAGAAGGATTCTGTTATAGAAAGTAAAGGCAATATCTTCAGTTCACCTCCTAGCAATGTCTTGCTTGGAGAGCTATTTCCTGCTATTCAAACAAAGAATGTACTTAAAAATTAAGACATAATGTAATTATGCTGAGAGAAAATACTTTTGTAAAAGATATATTTAGAAAAACAAAAACTATAGAAAGTGTTTTGTATTTACCTGAAATATAAGAATTGGTAGGTAAGGAAATGAGAAGATTGAATGAATAGAAAATTGATATAGACATTAAGAAACAAATAAATGTTTTAGATATCCAACTCGAGTTCACTAAGAAAGCAAAGGTAGTGAGCAAAATGAAACATGAAATGATGATAGATGTAGAAAACAGAAAACAGCAATGAATTTCTGATCTAAGGATTACAGGAAGTCTAAGCAGCAACATTTCATCAATCTGAAGGCAACCACTAAGTGACATATTATGGGGCTTAAAAAGATTGTAGAAGGTAGAATGCAATTTCACTTTTTTAAGCATACACATAACATGTGTCCTTATACATACTTATATTAGCAGGGGCAAAAACTGAAAGGCTCTATCTCAAATGTTAACATGGATTATCTTTCAATGGTTGTTGAGATTTAAATTCATAGTATTTTTGTTTTGCTAACCTGCATTTTTTAACAATTGCATATTATATAATTTATTTATATTTATTTCAAAAATGGGTAAAAATGCTCTTAGTGATAGCTTAGAAGAAAAAATTCTAGCTAAAAGCTATGTGTGTGTAAGTCACATGTCTAACCAAATTTAATTGCTTTTTCTCAGTCTCTATTTGCACTCTAGAAACACTTAAGAAATAGAATTTTTAAGCAATTCTTGTTTCTTTTTAATGTCTCTCTTTTTTGTCTTTTGGCCAAATCACCTATCTTTCCCTGTGCTCTCTATATACCAATACAATCATTTTCTAAATGTATTACTTTATTTCTTGCCTTTGTACTTAGCATGTGTTTCCAGTGACTAAAATATCCTTTTTCTTTCTTTCCTACGTGGAAGATTATCCTCATCTTTCAAAGCTAAACCAGCAATTTAGTTTTTTGTATAGCATTCTTGGAATTACTACGCAGGATTAATCATTTTCATATCTTTGCTTGTTGAGTTCTTTTGCCCATTCCTCTATTTATTATCCTGATCATACTGTGATATAGTTGTGTCTGTGTTTCTTTCTCTTACCAGATTGAGAGATAGATTTTGTTTTATTCATATTTTCCTTCCCAGCACCTATTTAATAAGAAGTCATCAATGAATGTCTATGTAATTGGACTTCTATTATAGTACTCATCAAGGTCTGTAAAGAGTCATTAAGGACTATAACTTATTTTCTCTTGCATCCTTTAACAGCAAGATAAAGTCCCTTACACTATTAAATACTCCACACATTAATTTGCTGCAGAAAACCCTGTAATGGGAATAAAGATAACTGGATGTTTTAGGCAAATCACAACCTCTTTGGCACCTAATTTCATCATCTGTTGAAAAAAAAAAAAGGCTGAGGAACTAGACAATCTCCTAGGTTCACAGGTATGTCTTCAGATGAAGTTTCCAGTCACATTGTTATTTGTTACTTGAGTAGATGATAGTGAGAGGGAACCTTCACTGTTTATTGAGTGAGCTTCATT